ATAGAGAGCCTCTTTGTTATTGGTTCTGTGGTGTGTTTGATGATGCCTGTCAAGCCTAAAGCCTATAGCTGATGACTCACATTTATTATTTTCTCCTCCCACATGAGCTTTTTCACATCTTTGAAGAGAACTTGAAGAAATCAGAGAACAGTGATTGCATTCATAACATTTTGTTATACTGTGAGCCACACTACATGTGCACAGTGAACCAGAAGAGGGAGATGAATTTCCATATTCCTGGTACTCATAAAGTTTGTCTCTGATGAGAGTTTCTTGATGAATTCTCACTGAAGTTGGAAAACCAATTAAGTGTAAACTTGTATCACCAGCATCATGTCTTCTCATAGTGGGGACTACCACATATCTTCCAGTTGTTCTGAGAGAGACAGAAGAACAATGCTTCTTTCCATGTCCCTTATGCTCACATGGATAGTATCCAGAGTGACAGATGACATGCCTGCGAAAGGAAGATGACAAATAAAAGATTTTCACATTGTATTCACATAGTCAAATGTTTTGTGTGTCATACAGATGTGGTATAGAGATTCATGTTTCTACACCAAGACAACCTCCTGGTCTCTCATAAAGTGCTCCTCTCGCTAAACTATGCTAAATCACGCAATACAAGTATATGAGCAACACTAGCTTTAATACCAAAGCTTTGCTTATAAAAGTTCTTGGCCATACACTAATGCCCTCATCAATGATATGATAATTGGAAGGCATGATGGTAATTGGATGGACAGTTTTAAAACATGCCTCTCACATGGCTATGACTGAAACTGTGACATCAACTATGGCATTGTTTTCTTGTCTTGTCCTTAAAGGAATACTTTGCAAACAGTGATCAGCTACCTGACATTGGAGTGAATGGTGTTGTGACAATTTAATAATCATCATAAAGTTGTGCCAATTCACACAGTTGCTTTTCATTAAAGTTCAGGACCCATTAACATTTTTTCAAACTGTTTGAAATCTCCTGCTCAGGCAGCCCCATTGTAGAAAGCCCGACATCCATGGCTCTTCTCCCAGAGATGTCTGGATCGTGCCTACCAGCTATTTAAGACCCAGTCCATAAATCTGCCATGGGTGCTCTCGTGATCTGACTCCTGCTTTCCTGAGAGCCACCTAGGAGTGCTCTGCTTTGTGCTGCCCTGTTTATTAAATCTGGATTAATTAATTCAGTTAGATTTGGCTTATTGCATTGGTGACAGAGGAACCCACCAACCAGAGATCCAATACTTATCTTTGGAGCACTGGCCGGGGTGAGTAGTCCTTCCACAACCATGTGTTGTGGCTGTGGATGGCCATTCACTCCCTCTCCACACTCCACCTTTGCCACAATGAATGAACAGCTCAGTAAGCCTCCCATCCCAAACAAAATTGTCTTTGAGGTCCAGAACCTCTTCCAACCTCCAGACTGCCTGCTGAGCCACTGCAGTGCCAGGCTACTCCAGCCTGTTTCAGAGAGCAATAGTCGCTCCCCTTGGAATTCCCCTGTGTGAGAGAGACTTCATCAGAGTCCACCCCACACACAGCTCCCAGATGCAATTTGTGTACCTTCCCTCACAACCACATCCCCAGCAAATGGCTTGTGAAAGGGTACTTGCTGAGTCCAATTTCTGTCCCCAGAATCTCAGGGGTTGTCTCCTCCAAATTGGGGCTGCAAGAATATTGCCCCCATTCATCTCTCTTCCCTGTTACTCCGCATCTGGTTCCCAGTGTACAGTTTGGCCACACTGTGATTCTAATGCTCCCATTCCTCTCACTCCCCTGTTCTGTTTGTCTGTCTGCCTGCCTCACTCCTTCCTCTTATATGATCTGGTCACACCGGGATTACCCCCGTAAAACATCCATTGTTTTTGTTCCTGTCTGCTCTCACACCCTGAACTACGGCATGAATGTCCTCAGCCTGTTTGTCTGACTGTTTGCTCCCTCATTCTTTCCTCCCTCCAGCAGAGATGCTGCCACCACCACCACCACCACCACCACCACCACCACCACCACCACCTCTACCTTCCACCACCACCACTACCACTGCCACCACGGCCTCCACCTCGCTGCAGCCCAGGGGGTTCCCTGTTCCCACACTCCCCACCCCTAAAATTTGACCTGCCCACTTCACCCTTAAACATTTTCTCCTTCAGTACAACACTCTGCTACACCATCTTCCCTCCTAAAAATCTCTTTTTCCAAAATTCTCAACCGGCTGCTCTGACTTACTCAACTGGGCAGCATGTGCTGCTTCTCTCTTTTTCAGTTTCCCTCTGCAGTGCCGTCTCTGGGATCTGGGTATCAGGCTGCCCAAACTGCTGGGAGCCTCATTAAAAAAATTGTTTCTGAGCCGGGCGGTGGTGGCGCACGCCTTTAATCCCAGCACTCGGGAGGCAGAGCCAGGCGGA